ATCGAATGGGGATTTAGAGCTAATGAAATTAGTTCTGTAACGAGTCTGTTTTATGAAATTAAATAAGGTCAATTCCCCGATAGTGGATGTGTTTTTTTTAATTCCTGATTGAAGTACTGGTCTATGCTCTTTCAGAGACCTATACGACATTCTCCGTTTGAGCTAGGGGGACACTGTTCGGAGCTTCAGGACTGGAGATTCTTTTTTTTGCTTCCGAATGGCAGCTTTGAGATCATTGGATTTTCACATTTTCTAATTTTACTTGGAAACGATGTAGAATGGTCTGAAACGTAAAAATACGAAGTTGGGACACCGTGTGTATCTGCGCTCACGGTCATCTCGTGGTCATTTTTTCGTAAATTAAACGAATAGAGGGCTGAAACAGTTCCAAAAAATTTGAAATTTTGTCAGATATTTGGTATTGAATTGGAGTGCCTCTGTGCCAAATTTCAGCCCGATCGGTCCATTTGTTTTTTTAGAGAAAGCAATTTGTATTTTTATCGTTTTTCGCGAAAATCTCAAAAACTATTGGACCAACTTCGATATTTTTTTTTCAAAATGTTCGTCTTGATGTCCTCTATCCGAATCAATCAAAATATGTGTACCCGTTCATACAAAGTTTTCGAGATATTTGGATTTTTCCGTTTTTCATAAAAAAAAAGCTTGTACGCACTCTACCCCTCGCAAAAATCGGGATATCAACTTGAAAATTGGTACGAAGTTATCTTTTATTATCGTAACGACCGGTATTGAATATGAGCTAAATCGGTTGATTAATTTCTGAGATATTCAATTTTGTGTTTTAATGTGTTTTATGTAATATCTCAAAAAATATTCAATCGATTTCAATTTTTTTTTTTCAAAATGTTCGTCTCAATGTTTTCTATCCGAATCAATCAAAATACGTATATCCGTTTATACAGAGTTTTCGAGATATTTAGATTTTTACGTTTTTCATAAAAAGCTTGTACGCACTCTGCCCCTCGCAAAAATGGAGATACCAACTTGTTCCCTTTTTCTGTTTTTTCATTAAAATCCTTGTACGCACGCTAACGTGTGCAAAAATCGAGATATCGACTTGAAATTTGGACAGAATCTTCCTCCCGTGATAACAAAGATTCGTATTGAAGACGGGCTCAATCGCACCCGTACTTTCGGAGATATTCAACTTTTTCTGAAAATCTATTATGTTGAATATCTTTAAAACTTTGCAACCGATTCCACTTTTTTTCAAAATATTCGTCTTGATGTCCTCCATCGAGATCAATTAAAACATCTATACCTGTTCATACACAGTGTTCGAGATATTCCCCTTTTTCCCTCTTTTGATTAAAATCCTTGTTTTTCAGCCTTGTACACTCGATAACTTGAGGAAAAATAGGCACAGCAAGTTGAAATTTGGTACGATTATAGCTCTTATAATATTAAAAGTTCATATTTTGGATGAGCGCAATCGGTCGAGTGATTTTGGAGATACAGTGGACACTGGTTAGAGTCGACTGTTTTGCGGGATAGGGGAAGCGAATTCGGAGAATTCGACTCTATTTCCCTGCCCCCACTATGCGCTCACGCCGAGCTCGACTTCCGAGAACTGGGAACGATAAAATGAAAAATACTATGTCTTTTCTCTCTCAATTCAACACTTTATTTTAACGATAAACTTTAGTTCACAGCTTCAAATATAATAGCAATAATCATATAGATGCAGACGACTTTTTTATTATCAATATTTTTAATTTCATTGATTATATTTGATCACAGAAGCTTTGTACCTAACATTCCATAAAACAGATATTTCTTGTGGAGTTAACGAACCATGTGAATCAAAAATGTTAGTCGTTTTCTTTACCTCGCTTCATTATTTTATTTTATCCAATTTCGAATTAATTTTATGCCAACAGNATTTCATTGATTATATTTGATCACAGAAGCTTTGTACCTAACATTCCATAAAACAGATATTTCTTGTGGAGTTAACGAACCATGTGAATCAAAAATGTTAGTCGTTTTCTTTACCTCGCTTCATTATTTTATTTTATCCAATTTCGAATTAATTTTATGCCAACAGAACGAGATCCTCCCCCCATGACAGCCAGAAGTGGACTAAATTTTTTGATCGACATTTCAAATGCAGAATATTTTATTTTTCGTCTTTACTCGAATCGGAAGACAATAGCAATTTGAAGAAACTATTGGAGTGTTCACTCTCCGGCTTGCGTGGGGACAGAGTGGGGGAAGCGCTCGAGCGGCGAGAAAAAAAAATGAGGGGAAGTTCGACACTAACCAATATGCCTCTAACCACAGTCCACTGTATTCAATTTTTTATATAAATCCATTTTATCGAAAAATTAAATATCTAGTTTCATCAAAACAGAATTAATATGGTTGCGTATGTGTACCTGTCTCAGGAACAGAAAATTGATACGGATCCATTCGGAAGCTTACTACCAATGGAATTGGTAGAAATAAAAGAGAGAAAACGACTAATGAGCCAAAAAGTAACGGTCGCATGCCTCCTGGCGGATAGGCTCAAACCCCTGCTTGTTTTTATTTCGTTCCAGTGATCGTTCTGGTAATAACGATAATGGCGCCCAATTTTTAGGGTTGTTGGAAGTCGAAGGGCTACGTGGCAGATTGAGGGTTCCGTGAACCTCAGAAAATCACATCACAAGATTAAAAATAAAGAAAAATGAAACAAACTTACTACAATCATGAATAATTTGAGAACGTCACAATCAAACTATTTAATTTTTGTTTTAATCACAAAACTGTGTAAGGAATTCTGGGAATTCCTTATGCGATCCAGAGACCATCGAGAACGTCGGATTAAGCGTGAGTCAGACAAAGACCCACAGCGTTTATTGTATATAATTTTTGACAAGCAGAATTTCGTATTAGCTATCTTTCGGTGATCGTTTCACGTTTCAAATATATTGACGGGTAGGTATGATTTTTTTTTTCGGGTAATATTTTTGTGATGTGTTAGGAGTTTGAATAAGTTAGCTATCGGGGGCCTAGAGATTTTCGTTGTTTGGGCCAAAATATTATCGAGCTACGCGATTATTGACAGGAATTCTCCCTTACGATTTAATCTTCGGGAACGTGTGGAGGCCCAGATGAAATGCTGGTGCTCAGTATATGGATTAATCGGGATGAGACAGTTTCGGATTTGGGTTTCGGTGGAAGGTCACATGGCCAATCGCGACCATTCCAACCGTGTGAATTGCCAAGGTCGCTATATGTTTTAAAGAATCAAGTTTTGTATTATGGTCCATTATGTGTTCTTTTGAATTATAGTTTTGGTGTATCATGCGTTTCTGCCTNTTTTGGGGTTTCGACTCGCATTGCCGCATGGGCTTCGTAACCATCCGGAGTTGTGCCGCAGAACTCTTTTAAGGATTGTGGAATTCGGTCGTTCCTTTTTTTTTGTGCATAATTATGAGAATTTCGCGTTCGGATTACGTGGGGATACGGGTGGTGTATTCGGCTGTTCGATTCCGTACGACCTCGGGTCCGTTCCATTTTTTTTTAANCGGTTCAGGTTGAATCGAATTACGCGTTTATGGCTATTAGGTTGACGTGTTCCTTTAGCAGCTTCTTCGTACCTAGCGCTGGACATTTGCCTACGTCACAGCGGCTGCCCGAGTGGAAATCTATCCCGGCTGGCCGTATCCATCATCAGGATCGGATCCGGCTTCAGAAGGGTGGGCCTGAACAATTATCCTCCTATCAGGGCATGATCCGAGCCGGAACGGGAGAGCACTGGTAATGCCATCCAGAGCGGCTCGTGATCTGGTTCCGATCAGGCATAACTGACTCAGATCGTAGTACGGTGTCCGTATCGATATCATGTCCTCTCCNTGACCCCACTACGTGGATATAACGCTCTCGTTCTATCTTTTGGCGTTAGATACTCGTTCTCTTTTCACTTTTGGGGTATAAATTGAGCGATTTTTGCGTATTCGAGAGTTAGTCGCGAAGTTAGTTGAGAAGAGTAGTCGAGTATTCGAGGAGCCTGTGACCAGCCCTCATTGAGTCAATGGCCTTCGGGCAGAGTGCCTTTGGGCGATGCCCCTCTGGGGAGAATTTTGCATCTAACCAGAAGTTTAGATGAGATTTTGGGGTTTCGACTCGCATTGCCGCATGGGCTTCGTAACCATCCGGAGTTGTGCCGCAGAACTCTTTTAAGGATTGTGGAATTCGGTCGTTCCTTTTTTTTTGTGCATAATTATGAGAATTTCGCGTTCGGATTACGTGGGGATACGGGTGGTGTATTCGGCTGTTCGATTCCGTACGACCTCGGGTCCGTTCCATTTTTTTTTAATATTCGGGTTTTGCGCTGAACGGTGAGAATGTTGCTGGTTAACGCGAGTTGATTAGAGTCATGATTCTCTCTTTGCGTTGGACGTGGACGCATGTTAGATTTCATGGGATTCGTTTCACATTTATTTCTATTTCGTGGCGTTGACGAGATTTGGAGTCGTAGGATTGAAGTTCGCGTTAGACATTTGTCCTCTGGCTCTTTGTCTGCTCAATAATTATTGAGTATTGAAGAATGTTTTTTTTGTGGGATTATTCTGCTCTTACTCTCAGTTTTTTTTCTTGAGTTTTCTCAGTCTAGGGGAAATGGGCGAGTTAACGTGGTTTTCCACTCCCAGATGGAAAATTCCGTTACAACTGTTTTGCAATTTTCAAATCAAAGATAATTGATCCGAATCAAATCCTTTGATAAGAATGTATTAATAATTAAAATTCCCTTTACACTTGGTTTTTTTTACTACAAAATTACATGAAACTTTTCAATTTAAGGAAGACAAATTCAAAAATATAAGAATATAAAATCCCGCATTACAACTATTCATTTACACTTCAATAAATATGAAAAAAGATTCAACGATCTCCATAAAAGTTTCACATCTTTTAATAAATATTATGAGAATAAATAACATTCGAATGCTTGGAATCAATTTTTTTCTCAGATTTCTCCATTTCCTTTTCAGATCAATAACCTCGATATTCAACCATCAACTTGATGAGGATTTTTCTCTTCTTGAACCTATCGATCTCAACGTACTCTGATATTTCCTGTCTCACAATATCAAATTCATCCATGTGAAAAATTTTATAAGAATTTCACGTAAGTCTATATTCAGTGATAAATGTTTTTAAAGTAATTGTGAAAAATGAATATCAATTAATGATTTTTTTCCAGAAACTTCTACATAAAAAGCTGATAACAAATTTAAAAAAGCTCATAAATTTCAGATAAAACACATTCAGATATATCATAGATATAAAACAAAGATCAGATACGCAAAGTCCTACTGATAATTTAAATTATAAAATCCAATTTGTTCTTGAGATCAAATTATATTTTCAATTGAACAATTACTCTGAATTCAATCTTCCATCCACAAATGATTGGATAATTCCATTTTCGAAAATCGCTTCTCAAAATAAATTTTGAAGAAGACTACAACATTAAACTTTAAAATTTAAATTCCTCCTGGAACTAAGAGCTCAATTAAAAGGACTTAGTGTAACCGATCCTAAAATAGATATTTATAAAAAAAGATATTATTTTATGGATAAAATTGACAGATTCATCTAGATCCATAAATTGAATTTGATAAGATATTCAAAAATATTATAGATAAAAATTAAAATAATAGATGTGAAAAAAAATATTATCCTACGAATAAGAAAAAAATCAACTAAGATTTTATTCACCCGAAATTATATCGAACTCAAGTATTATATTCAAATGAATAATATCAACTATGTACATTTTATTATGTAATGAAAATTGAAATTAATAAATAAATTGCTAATAACTCAAATCAACATAACATAAAATTGAACTCCTTCCGTTTATCTCAGAAATATCATTTCTATTACAAAACAATTCAATCCCAGAACAAAGAGAAATTTAGGAATTATTTCTTCATATGAAAATAATTGGAAACAATTATGCCTAGACGAAAGATTCAACGTACGCAAGAAGAAGAAGAATACAAAAGATTGAAACGAGAAACAACGAGCATATTACCAAAGAAAAAAATGAAAAGATAAATATCATTCAAAATATTTCAAATGATCCAAAAAATGATAATTATGTCATATCAGATCTCAAATCACTTCCAGTAGGCATTAATAAAGAATATGATTTCTTCAAAGATCATTCATAAGCATTGAATACTGAATTTCATTTTGATTCTTCCAATGTTCACAATAAACGAGTAAGAAGAATAATCCAACAACGTACATATTATCAATTGTGACGAAATTCCAGGCGAATTCGTCACCTGCGGAACTCCAGGGTATTTCTGTATAGAAAGAAAGAAAGAAAGAAAGAGAGAGAGAGAGAGAGAGAGAGAGAGAGAGAGAGA